GGATTCCGTAAAATATTTATGTTAAAATTACTTCTGTGTTCATTATAATTTTGTCTAAAGATTGATTGGTTCGTCTATAAAGCTAAGTCAGCGTAAAACTGAAAAATACTCAGATTTTGGATTGATTTTTCGAATAGTTAACCCTCGTTAACCCTAAAATGACTTAGATTATTATAATGCTCAATCATTTATTAATTAATATCTGTTAAAATTAGAATTGGCGAATTTTGACCAATTTATGGATTTTGAAGTTGAAATATACTATACTTTTAAAGGTCATGTAAATGTTCCATTAAATTCGAAACTTTTTTTGGTGGAAAATATTAATGTTTGATATTTTATGAGAGATAGATGTATCAGCTTCAAAATGGAAACGATTGCGCAGCCATAGTGATTGACTGTATGTAGTGCGCATCGAGAAAAGAAGGTGCTCTCCATTTCGCCATGTTCAATTTTTTGGTAAACTATGCCTGCTGAAAATTTGATGGCGGGGAACACATGGGACTTCAAAGGCATTGCACAAACGTTCTTCACGCGCTGCGGCAGCTTTGATCTTGGTTCATTTGCATAGCGCTGCGTGCGCGTAGCTTTTTCGAGTGATCTCCTTCTCAATAATACCTCCATGGTATAACGCAAGTATTCTCTAGTAAAATTACAATTAATTTCACCAACATTTTTTCGTTACGCTCTATTGCCAATAGCGGGAACCTTTCCAACCACTGTTCATTATTTAAAACTTGATCAGAGTAGCTCAGAAAAATATAAATTATATTGACCTTGAAAAACTCTAAAAAGCTACAGTAAACTAGCTTTTTCTCTGTGTAGTCAAAGATAGTGAATAGTGATTAAGTTATTCTTTTATTGTGGACTACTTTTGTTACAGTGCGCTTGTAACCGTCAAAGCAAAGACCCAAGTATGCCAAATATTATTTTTATTTACAACAGAACAAGACAGGTAGTTTTCACAGGAAGTAATTATTACTAGACATGCTTTGATTAAAATAATCAAAAAAACAGGAAAAGAGGAAGGCCAAGGAACATCTGGTGCAGGAGAATATGGCAGATGGCCCTGGATGCTAGAGGAAAGAGTCCATACTCAAAGGTATACTGTAGCTTAATAAAGGACACCAATTTTAGTACTTACCATAGGGTGCGTTCGAGCCATACACGCCTATTAAATTCCGTGTATATGACAGGTAAACGCACGGCTTTACACCACGGGAGGTCCCCGCATTCGAGCACAAACTTATCTTGTCTAACCGTGTAAAAATTTACCTCGGAAATACTCGTTTGAGGTCAGCGAGGCAATAGTATATCCCATCATGCCACGCAATATTTACGTTTCTAACCACGCTTCACGCACTTGTACTGTACTCCCCAGCGCAAATACTTCAGTTTATTGGTGACCTGTGTCACCATCAGCTTTCCCCTAAATTTTTCTTTGATCTTTGCAGTTATTTCTTTGTAAATACCGCTGTTTCGGCGGGTGCCGTCCAGTTGTCTTTGTATTCTGTCTCCCCCCACAATGAGAGAAGGTAACGTATCATGGGTTCGGTCCACACAGACATGTTGAAATGATGAAGATGATGCTATAACATTAACAACAGGTCAGCGAATGCATTTGTTTTTGCAAAACTGGACAGGCCTATGGTTTTCGCGCGTGTTGAATTGAATTCATGTTGACCGCCAGACGGTAGAGTCATTAAAACATGATTAATGGTCGCGATAATGGCCTCTGACAGCGATACACGGTTCTATAACCCTAAATTTGGTGGTCAAAATAGGCGAGCGTGTTCCAGATGTTTTTTACATCTTACCCCGTTCGAGCCACACATGGCATTTAACTCCCGTGTAAATACACGGACCTTGCACGGATATATTTCTGGCTCGAACGCACCCATAGACACTATGGTCTATGGTATTATTACTCTAGTAACTAGAATGTTGATGGAATGTGGATTGGTACAGATACTTTGCTAGAGATATACTGTACTGTACTACTGTAAGCAGGGGTCCATAGTCTTCCCGAAATCAGGACGGCTTACAGTACTCCCGCAAGCAACAAAGACTTTCCCGGAAAATAACCTTATCTCCCGCAAAATCATACATAGTGCATGATTTTACTACATTATCATCAATTGTCTTATGGAAGTCAGTGCCATGCGCAGCAAAATTAAATTAAATATGTTAAAGAAAACTCATTTAACCAGATCTAAGGGAGGGGATTTCTTCCAACTTGAGATCCCTAATTAATTATCTCTAAAATATGTGGAATGACCATGCTTGATAAACTTCTAATTTAATAAACAATGAAAAGAATTGGAAAACAATCTAGGCTAGATTTTTGCTTATTGCATAGCTGAAAGGTAGCAGAAGAGGTACAGTTTATATAATAGTAGTCCTTTAACATTTTTAGTATCAAATGAATCACTTTTTATACTTCAAGTTCATGGTTAAATCATGGAATCTTTATAATAGCCTGACCTACAAATTTTACCTGTTACCAGACTTGGTACAAATACAACAAAATATAAAAATTCCCTATTTGTCAAGAAATTAATATAAAATTAACAAACATAAAATAAATAACATTGACAAAAAAGAATCATCAAGAAACATTAAGAGAGGGGAACTTAGCAAAACGGTTAGTGATTAAATAGACTGTATATACCCTACCGGAAGCCTTTTGGAATTACACAATACAAATACAATTCAATGAATTAATTAACATACTATTACTTTACTCTGTATAATAAAACATACTGTAGAAGTAGAGGTGATTGGTATTTGCAGCTGGAGGAATGTACCTCATGAACTATTATTCATATAATTACATGTGTCAGCATTATAGTTGTTGCCAGTAAAAAGATTCTATTGTAAAATAGTGCAACGTATTATTTAATTTTTCATTTACTTTTGTTGGTTAATGTCTAATGTGGATAATTAAAAACAAAAATAACAAACAAAAAAACAGATGAAAAAGTACAACATACAAAAAATGCCTATAGAATGTTGCACTCGTTTATATAGATACAAAGGTTAAAGTATACAACTAAAAGTGAAACACGCTTAAAAAAATAAACCTAGCACAAGGCAAACAAGCAAGATGCCCTAAAGCATGATTGTAAAAAAACATGATATAACTCAATTGGTAAACATACTACAGAAATGACATTGGTTAATCATTAATTCATTTCCTAACTGAATGACATTTGCCCTCCAACATGGACAGAGTAAAATTGTCCACTACAACCTTCCTTTTACCAATCAGTTTTAATTAGAGATCCTTAATTAGAGTACTACTACTATTACATTTTTTTTAAACAGCATCCTGTCATCCTACATTGTACTGTAATTATATTACATGTACAATATAACTTTTGCCAGATTCTATGTTCACGAACATAAAATGTTCTAGAAAATGTAAAGTTTTATGAGAACATGTTATGAAACAACAACAAAACAAAATCATTGCATATTTACTGCGATACATGCTGCGTAGTTAAGGTTGCTCGGCATGGTTTTTCGTAAAAAATGTTTTCATCCAGTTTTTAAATTCTGTTGGACTACAATTATTTTTCGACTTCATGTGGGTAAATATTATAATTTATATTTACTGAAATTTAATCTAAATTATATTAATGCATATGTTGTTGCTAAACTTACCAATCAGCCATGTTTGTTTTGGTCACATGGATAACTTAACACTGATTAATGCACTCTGGTTTACGTTAATTTTTGTTGTCAACAAAAATAATAAAATAATACTCAACAAAAAATCTTAGTCAACGAAATGAACCAGTTGAATAAGCATACTCAATTTCATCTTAAGGAAGGCAAACCACCCAACAGCTTTATGAGTACACCAACATCACTCAATATAAATTAATTATCTAGATGTTTGATATGTTTTTTGATCTTGTTGCCAACTAATAACTTGTAAACTGCTATAAAAGCTTGGTATGATTCCAACTATCTAGAAAGTACAACAGTTCTTTTTCTAGTCAGCAGGCGATGCTTATCCAATCTGCTGTTAAAAATATTTAAGACTAACACTAAGATAAACACCTCAGATGGTTCCAGTTTTTTGCTTTAGAGGTGTGAAATAAATCAATAATGTGTCCTTGTAGATCATTGTTAATAAAATGAGTAAAAAAAAAACCAATGAAAACTCTTTCGTCTATATTTTTAAAAGAAAAGATGAACTCAACTTAGGCAATTTTTTCAATACTGTAGTACAATATGCTTCAAATCATAGTGAAAATTTTGCATTGCAAACCGGCTGTGAATGAGCAAATTTATTTCACTTTAAAAAAAAAATTTCACTGAAAAAAGAATTTTTTTTGAAAAAATGCATATGTATTACTCTAATTATTATACACCATGAAAAAGTATTGGCATACATTTTAGTTTTATGCAAAAGGGATTTAAAAAATGAGAAATAGAGACTATTTCTCATAAGAGATTACCATTCTCTATGAATTCTTCGTTACTAGTATAATAATTTAAAGCCAAAAAATTTCACTGAAAAAAGAATTGCAAACCGGCTGTGAATGAGCAAATTTATTTTACTTTAAGTTAAAGCCAAAAAATTTCACTGAAAAAAGAATTGCAAACCGGCTGTGAATGAGCAAATTTATTTTACTTTAAGTTAAAGCCAAAAAATTTCACTGAAAAAAGAATTGCAAACCGGCTGTGAATGAGCAAATTTATTTTACTTTAAGTTAAAGCCAAAAAATTTCACTGAAAAAAGAATTGCAAACCGGCTGTGAATGAGCAAATTTATTTTACTTTAAGTTAAAGCCAAAAAATTTCACTGAAAAAAGAATTGCAAACCGGCTGTGAATGAGCAAATTTATTTTACTTTAAGTTAAAGCCAAAAAATTTCACTGAAAAAAGAATTGCAAACCGGCTGTGAATGAGCAAATTTATTTTACTTTAAGTTAAAGCCAAAAAATTTCACTGAAAAAAGAATTGCAAACCAGCTGTGAATGAGCAAATTTATTTTACTTTAAGTTAAAGCCAAAAAATTTCACTGAAAAAAGAATTTTTTTTAAAAAATGCATATGTATTACTCTAATTATTATACACCATGAAAAAATATTGGCATACATTTTAGTTTTATGCAAAAGGGATTTAAAAAATGAGAAATAGAGACTATTTCTCATAAGAGATTACCATTTTCTCTATGAATTCTTCGTTACTAGTATAAAAATAGTGTAGTTTTATATAGCACACATATCCATCTAATATAAGATGCTCAGGGCGCTTGATATGTGGACTAGGAACTCGATCAATGACTTTCTTCGCCTCTAAGGGTCCCTTTGTGTCTGTGCTACCCGGTAACCCTGTACCAGCAACTCTCCTCGTCCACCACAGGACTGTCTATCCAGAACACCGAGGTATCCCCCTACTTGTCTCAAAGGATGTACTGAGTTCTTTATAGTGCACACAAGCCATTGTATACACTGGGCCTACGGTTTATAGTCCTTATCCGAGAAGACTTGTTCTACCACCAGTACCATAGACGAGCGTGCCGTTCGAAGCAGCGCCAATATTATGGCTATAGCTTGCGACGCCCCTGCTAACTGCTTGGCTATTCGACTCGCCATTTCAGAGGTTGTAGATCTTTTGTGTATATTTTATAGAGTCAATAAAGTGCGCCCTATCTAATGAGATTACAATAGTTTTGTATTTCACATCGCACACACTGCGATCAATCGAGTAGGCCGGATATTGTTCATGGAGATATACCTCCATGGTTTGTTAAATTGTCAAAATCTCGGTCATAATCATTTTTTTAAAACAAATTTGAAATAATTCCAATGAAATATTATATTTCACAAGTGTCAATACTAGCAACGGAAAATATCATGACGGCCGTTTTTATGTCTGATATTTAAACAGAATCTAAATTGAGGTAAGGCTAGGCCTAGACTAGCAGTGTTGAATAGGCTAATATTTCCGGCGCCTACTATATTTCTTCGCAGACCTATCGCAAAAAAATTAAACAAAAATTCATCCACGTTTATTTTTTGAGTGGAACACAAAGAAAAAAATCAAATTTCAGTCTTATTTTACATTTTTTTCATGTTTAGGAATATCTCAATTCAGTTAAACTAGCAATTTTGTATTATATTTATAAATCTTTATAACATATAAAAAAAATTAAATTTTTCCTAACAACTAAAATTTTGCCGGGAATGGGGCATTTAAGTTCAGCGCCAGAGTCATGGTGGGACCAAGAATCCTCTAATCTCCCTTGCAGCAGAGATTTTAAGGTCCTGATTTTTTAAATTGAGGTCTTTTAGACCTCAATATTTAAGAAATTTCCCAATTGTGATTGGCTGGGCAATTTAAAATAATGTTTACAGTCGAAGAGCATCAAGTAGCACATGATGCCACATACTGTACACCTTTGATTCTGTTGGATAGTACATAGAGCAAAGGAACTGTTTCTTTGCTCTATGGATAGTATACTGTAGAATTACACTGTGGAACAGTTGATAACAAGCTTTGTGACACCTGTGAAACTAATTTCATGGTCCTTGGAGATGAGTTTTTTTTTTTTTAAACATTGGTCAACTGATTAAATTCACTTCCTGGTGCAAATTCATCAGTGAATCACGAATAGCACACTAACTACATCACAGATTAAACGAGTAAAACATACAGCTATCATCTCAAGATACAAGATACAAAGGAAAGGCCTTAATGTAGTCTACCCTGTCCAACTTGCTCAATGATAAAACTAACCATCATGAGTCAAAACCATTAAAGGCTCATTCAATGACTATACTATAAATTAAAAGGAAAGATTTTTTTATACCTTGTTGTGAACCCATTGCCCGTAAATAATGGTGATTTTGAATAAAAATAAAATTTTCTTTTAAGGCAATTAGCGCACCCGTCGCCACAAAAAAAATGAAAATTGTAGAAAAAAATTAAAGTTTTTCTTTGATTTTATTACGCCTGCTGCTGCCTTGAAATCTCCAAAAATAAAATACAGTACAGGTATGTATATTTCTTCCTAACTATATAAACTTAAAGCATTTTTAACCATCCTATTACTACACTATTTACGTTCACCAATAAAATTTCACTTTTTATTTTCTCCTTTGTCTGGATGTTTTTGGCAAAATGATTTGCAAAAATAAAGAAAACAAAAAATTTATTAAAAAAATAAGAAGTTCGTAAAACAAGGTATAAAAAATTCTTCCCTATCCAACAAGAGCTTCCTCAGCCCCCCTAGCCTATAATTAATGATTGCTTCAATTTCTGGTATACAGTAATACAAAAGGTGCAACATCACTGGTTTCCTTGAACATCAAGGGCTGCTTCGATGGTATGATATTGCAAAGCACAATCTTTCCTATAGCTTTGTACTCCCAAATGGATAGCATCATGTCTGTACCTTGAGTACTATTTAACACTCCTTGTTGCATCGCAGTTGGAGTAAACAGTCATGATGCTGCCTGCAGGCACAAGATCATCTTGTCCAGAGGGGTTAAGGTAGACCAAAATACCAGGTAACCCCCTGTTGCCTTAACCAAAATGGAATTCCTCTTTGGCTGCCTGAACTTTCAAGAGCTACCTCAATGACTGCTATACAGTAACCATCAAGAGTCTCCTCAATTCCTGCCTTAACATCAAGGATATACTCATTATCTGTGGTCTGCTGTAATGTCCTCCAGGATGGCTACCCTTTACAATCATGGGCTACCTCATTGGTAGCTCTTCATTAAAGACTGTACCGATCATCACTGTGTCTCACAGTAGCCACTTTATAGCTTCAACGACAGCCATAACAATCAAGTTCTAACCACTGCTGCTTTAACAACCACTGGACTTATCCATAAAATCTGCTTTAAACATCAAATCATCTTGAGTTTGATTACTAATCAATAATTTACTTCAATTTAAATAAAACAATACTTCATTCAACTTACCCATCCAAGTGAGAAGATGGTTTTGTAGTTCTGTGTTGCATAAATTTCACAATGGCAAAGATGAAGGGTTTCATAGAAGAAAAAAAGAGAAGGAAAAGTATTAATTCTGACCCAAGCAACAATTCATGAAATATTAAAATATGTAATACCAGAGTTTTTTTCTCTAGTACTTTCTTGTACCAGTAATCCATACAGAGATGAATAATAATATTGTATTAATAAGGTACCGGAATACACTTGCATGGAAATTATTCTTTAAGGTTAACTCAAAACAAACCATGAAATTTAGCTGGACGTCTTTTTAGCAGCAAGCTTAAATTTCGTAAAGACATTAGATCGAACTAGTTTCTATTTATACTGTAATTTATCAATAATACAAACAAAATATTGGTAACTTAGGATACAAAACAGGTCGCACAAATGATACTACAGTGTTCAAGTAGAAAGCAATATTGAAGCTGTTTTGTATCCAGTGTTACAGTACATCAATTCAACTTACCACTATTATTACTACCTGGATAGATAAATATTAATAATTTTATCAATAAATCGAAAATACAAAGAAGTTTTTCACTTCCAATAAGTGATATAAAATTAAAGTTATGTTCACCAACTTCAGTGACTATATTTCAAGGCATTAATAACATGATCACAAGAATTTGTTTTTAAATAAAAAAAATATTGTCTGCATTAGGATTTGATACTTTTAAGCTTTGTCCAAATATCACATTTTCTCTGACAAAAAAAAAGTTGGTGTATGCACATATATAGTCATGATTTGCTTATACCGTATATGGTCATGATATGATGTCATCATGACCATATTTAGGCATATGTTTTTGTCAAACTCAATTTGACAGTCTGGATAGAAATTACCCTTAGATTACAGTACAATTTGGTTGCTCTTTTGAGTTGCTATGAGACCATGTTATTAGCTTGGCCTCAGAGCTCAGTTGGAATGAGCACCTAGCAGGAATTAGACTCTTATGTTCAAATTCTGATGAGTACAATACTTTTTTTTCCCAAAAAATATTTATTGTCACATCAATATGGAGGAGTTTCTCCATAAAAGTCGTTTCATATAAACAAATTCATTAATATATGCAATAACAGCCTACTAAATATTCCAATTTTTAAAAATAATGTTTTAAAAATGATCATAAATACATAATATTGAGTAATTATGTTGAATTTAAGTTTCAACCTTTGACCTTATAATCACTGCATGCTAATCAGTTACCTTGTTTGTCTTGGCAAGCAGCCAAATTCTGTAAATAATAGTCACATAGCAAAAAAAGACATTTCAGTGAACATATTAACATTAATATAAATAAATTTCATAAGAAATAAGTGATAAAACTATTCATGATGCACTTACTTACCTGCCAGCCACTAAAAAGGTAGGAAAGTATGATTAAAAAATTATCTTCGCATTTCAATCTCTTCTTTATAAAAAAGTAATTATACCATATGCTTTTTCATTCAAATAACTATTTGATGGTATCAGTAACAAGGCTCTGCATTTTGATAATACATGGAGGGGGCTTCGGGTAAATAAGCCTGAAAATACACAGTACTTTATATCCTTCCAGGTCTTATATCAAGCCTATTTTTGGACTTCTTGGTGCTTTGCAGTAAATGTGCATGTTCATTGGAACACGCAGAACATTAGCATGGATTTCCTTTTCATAAAAGGGGTGATCTTTTAAATGTACAAATCTCAATGAAAATGGAAGAATTAATATGCAAAGGGTTCCAGGAACAGATTATTCTATTATTCCTAAAGGGGTGTTTCAGCCTAGGGACTGTTCAAGTAAAGTATTCAAAAAACACCCTATTCACTATCTAATGGTACTGCATACACCCTATAGTTTTGCTGAATTTGTATATATTTGATTTTTGCTTTCTTTTTGCTCAATTTATGTGTTGGCTTTTTAAAGTATCATACTCGTTGATTGTTTCTATTCTGTACAGTGTAAGTGACGGACCACCCACCTTTGAATTCAAATTAAAATTTTAAAAAATAGAAGTTGGACAAAGCTTTGGGTTGCTATTCCAAGAGGTTGAACAAACCAGCTTCTTTTCTAATGCTAACAATATTTAGCATGATTTTGTTTGTCTCGCCCAGCCACTCGGAAGCAGCTATAAATTCTATGGGTGTGTTGACAACATATTCATAGTACATGTATGTAATCAACTACATTTAAGTTTTTAGGAAATGACTAGAAAAAAATTGAGCCTATCAATTTGGAACAGACTTTAGTGGACCATCACAATACATTTTTGATAAGAAATATTGAAATATTGGTGACATTAATGAATCAACAGGATATGTTAAATAGTTGTATGACTAGGTTTCAATTTTATTTCTAACTCTTGAATAAGCTTTAGCTATGCACTGTGGTGTGTGGATTTTAATATAAAATAAAGTAAAGACCAAGAATCATCAATCACAGGTGGTGAAGTTGATTTGAATAATAATGATAATGATGATTAAGTTAATGTATTGTATGTTAGCATGCATAGCAAGGGAATACTGTATAATAAGCTATGTCAGAAATATTACGATACAGAAATAAAGTATTAAACTGTGCCAAATTTCTATTGATGAAAGGGGTAATTTTTAAGGTGTTTAAAGAGAGTACAAAACATACTATTTCTTGTGACCCCCCTCCTACCCTCAACATTCACAGAACAGACTGAAGATTGTAATCATTCTGATATTATTTTTGTCATTTTCATAAATGTGTAAACACAATTAGCCCCACCCCCAGCGTACATATGTTTTACACTATCTTAAAAAATAACAGAAACAATGAATGGCCCCTAAATTACAAAAAGGAATTCAGTTTTAGATTCTGGAATCGCGCCAACAATAATGCTCTGGTATTTACAATGTATAGGTAACAGTTTTTCAAGGCTGCACTGGGGCAAAATAATTGCACTTCATTGCCTTCTGGCTTACAAAACATTCAGTATTTTCTACTCAAGGCTGTTCACATCATTTTATGCAGCTTTTCAATTAATTTTGACCCCTTTTTTCAGAAAGTACTATATTATGTTGTTGAAACTTTAAAGGAATTTAAGTTATTGACAAAGGAGCACAGACAAAGCCAATCCAACTATCACTTCCCTACTGAGGGATCCAAAAACCTCCACCTTTGAGGAGATTAAATATAATATTACCTAATATTAGATTCATTAAAAATGTGAAATATTTGAAACTTCCTACTCCTACTATACATACAATAAGACAGGTGTTTTGTCTCTTTGGATTACAGTGCCCTAAGTATAAAATGCCTGATATTTTAACAACTTCAATTAACAGTACAATATAGTACAGTATATTTATCAAAACCACTATATATTTACAGCTTTTACAGCATAACTGATTATTATAATATTGTTGTTGAAATAACATAAATAACTTACATGAAGAACTGTGATCCATTTGTGTCCTTGCCACGGTTGGCCATGGAGAGGAGGAAAGGTTGGTCATGTTTTAACTCTAAATTTTCATCTATGAAAATATGAAAAATTAATATACAGAATTAAGTTAATTATGTGACCATATAAATATTTTTCTGGGAAAGGAACTTGAGACCAAAAGAAAAAACATATTGATAGAATTACCTATAAGCTTGGATAAATGAATGAGATATTGGCTATGGTCACACTAGAGTTTCAAGTCTGGCTTGACTCACCGTGGGTGAGATTTTCGTAATGTGACCGCATCTGCACCGACTCGCGTCTGGCGTGACCTCGATCTCAATCTACCTATCTCGATCCCGGCTCAGCACCCATATTGACCCTGGATTGACGAGATTGACATTTCCTCGTTGGTTGTCAACCAATCACAGTCGATGACAACTAGTATGACCGACCCAGAATTTCGAGCCAGGCTTGAAATCTCACCCGCGGTGAGTCAAGCCAGGCTTGAGACGCTAGTGTGACCGTAGCCATTGGTAATATCTAACATTGTATAAAGTTCTAATTCCTCCTCATTGTGTAGAAACAACCTTGACATAAATGTAACCAGACTTCCCACGATGCCCTGCTGTGCATTAGAATCAGCAATTTGGTGGCACTGTCGAACTCTTCACACCTCATTTCCAAGGGAACTACGGAGTAATCTAGTGCGCACTTCTACGGCACTTAAAGAGAATGCTTACATAGGTGGCGCTTCCCAAAGGGTGGTGCAATTAAAAGGTCACAGTATGACCTCTGTTGGGGTCTTCATGCACATATGATTGTGTACTAATCAGAGAAAGTTGTCATGTGTCAGATACTGTAAGTTAAATACAATCATGATTCAATCTCATTTTTCTAATCTAATTATTATGGCAACAAGGTGCAAAAAACCCAAGAAATGTATGTAATAATCAAATGCAATATGAATCAGATGGAAGATGTGAACGCTTAACTACCACCTGTTTTCCAACAAATAACTGATAATATGATTTTTTTGATTGTCAAATCTAACATCTTACAGCACATAACTCACAAATTGTATTTCATTTTCAACTATTCACAAACTTATAATGCTTAATTTACATTTTAAAAAACCAAGTAATTCAACTACATTTTTTAATATATATTATACAGTAAGTCTATGTTTTTCAAGTAGAAGATCAACTTGTAGAAATTTAATTTTTATGTGCAAATTGAATGTTATCAAGTTTTGTATCACCCAAATTGCATTGACAAATTAAATACATAAATAAAATACAATTCAAATTTGAGGGATTTCTTTGTTATATCATACAGTAGTCTATAAAAAAAGTAATTTCTTCACTCCTCTAAAGTTTGTGGAAATTGGAAGACAACTCAAATTACAATTACCATAATTACTTCATTTACCATGACAACAAAGTTTCAAGGACAAAACCAGGCTATTAAGTCAAGCATTACCATGCATATAAAAAATTATTTCTACCTCCATGGACAATATGTAAAAGTCCTGGAAAACAATATAATTCAAGAAAAACTAACCCTCACTTTCACAGACAAGATAAAAAAAAAATTCTGGATTATCAAATGTTTACTGTATTTTGTAATTTAACTTATAATTTAATTATGTTGCTATAAAGATTTTAGTGTTCTTTCTTGTACTATATTCAAATGATAGCCTACACGAGAAAAGGCTGTTATGTAATTGAGCATTAAGTTGGGGGAGGGTGTACACCCGGTGGGCGTATACTTAAAAGACTGTGGTAGAACTTTTCTATGTTATATTAGTTTTTAAAACATCTATATTACAGTATAATGTTAATTATATTTTGACGTATCTTAACACGTTTTTTTTTGTGCATGTTTAAAGTGGTATGACTCCCGCAAATGTCCTCATCTCTACCGTTTACAAATTTATAAACTTTAATATAGCATTTACCGGAATATGCTTTTATTTTTAGCTTTTAGAGTTACAATAAACTGATAATTTGATGTACTGGTAGATGTTTTTTTTAAAATTATGTAATGATTTTTCCTCACCTTGTATTATACCAAATAGAGAATACTTTATACCTCTCTGAATATACCAACTAGTCATTCAGTATGCCTAAGTGGAAAGAGGTTTATTCTACCAAGGTTTTGACTTAATTCTTTTGTTCAATTTTTATGGTTCAAATTTATTGGTTTTGCGCAAATTTCCTGTTGTGTTTTTATGAATTTGCCTAGGCATAATATCAGAACTGTGAGACAGAGAAATTGGCAGTGATATACTCGTCCATGATACAGGAAATGACGCTAAGTCAAACAACGCCCTACTGTACAGCATGGCAACTGCACGAGACAAGGCCGAATCTAGCAACTTGCAAACAAATTCAATACAGGGTATACCTGTACTGAAGCAATTACTGATCCACATATGTATCCAGCATACATTGGTGTAAAATGCTGTAAACAAGGGCATTACCCATAAACATACTGGTCACAACAATAAACTCAATTTAAAACTTGTGATACTTATAAATGTGAAATTTTAAACAGAAAATAGGTTTAAGTATCAGACTCTGCATCTCAAAAATAAGGCCACTTTCTGCTATAATTTTGCACACATTTATGTCTCAATAATTTTACGGTAATAGGTTACACAGTGGAACATCTGCCTGCACACCTATCTTGAATGACTTACACAATTTTTGTAAAAGTTCTTACTGAAATTTCTGGGCAAAAATAAAGTGAAATGCTTAAAGTTACATACCACTGCAACTGTTGAGAAACATAATGGTAAATAATCACTAACAATTGCAAAATCAAGTAAATATTCCATCACATATGTAATCTGGTAGAACATTCCTTTCCTAATAATAGCTCCATGTTTAAAAAAAGTAAGTAAACCCAAAAAAGGCCTTCAGGCTTGTGTACCTGCTCTGGTACTGATAGTGATACTTAACCAGTGGCCTTGGTGAGAAGTAAGAAAACTTCAGGATGATAATTTGGGTTATTCTATTTTGTTTGTAGGGGTACACTGTAGTTAAATACCAGATACATTGTAGTTGTCATGTGATAGCTATATTGAAGCCATGTGTACAAACAAGGTCATGCTGCCAAAATAATAATTTGCCAAAATTAAAAATCATAACATTGAATTGCTCTTGTCCAGGGACATGCGAACACTACAGGGAATTAATGGTCAGGCGTAGCTCATTAGCAAGTTGCTGCAAGCTGGGACTAAAAAAAAAAAAAGAAATGTGACGACAGCCCAGGGACTGTACTGTACAGTATGGTCAAGATTAAAGATGAGCATAATTCATCATTCTGCGCATCTTTTTGCTGTGTTTGTTGATCTTATTATTGCTATCCTGTCATTTTTTATAAGATTAAAGATCAATGAAACTTTCCTACTTTTTCTACGTCTTTAAAGAAACAAAATGGGTGTTAAAGAAAAAAAAAAAACGGTTGATAAGTACAGATTTGAATATTCAAAATCTGGGGTGAAAAAGCATAACCACCTATTTTCCCAAGTTTTTAAACATTCAAAAATCTGTACTTCACTAAATATTTCAAGTTTTCACCAAACACTCTTTTTTAGTCTTAGAAAAATCAGTTGTGTTGTACAAAAATTGTTTTCTTCCGGAGCCTGGCTTTAAAAAAATATTTTTTTTTTTTTTCTTGTTGTTCCATACTAATTTAATTCAATAATTTCCTGATATTGATATTATTATTTGCAGTCCTTCGTAATTTAAGAAAATCATTGACGATGTTGATTAGTTTCCTTATCTGTACAGAAGTTTCCTGTTCAAAATGGCAGCTGTAAGGAGATTGAACAACTTGACGGGTAACAGTAGACGACGGCTTTTAAGGCATGTCTACTTTCACATCGCACCAGCTCAATTATCTTCAAGCTAGTGTCCTAAATTTTCTAGGATGTCTAAAACTTGTGATATCATCACTAAAAACACTTTATTTTTTAACAAATTAACTAGGTTACTAGGTTAGGGACTAGCCTAGACAAGATACATACATCTAGGCCATAAGTTGACAGCCAACTAATTTTTTATAAATTCTATTCACATAAATTGTCATCTTTGGATACAAATAATTTATTCATTTATTATTATTAACTTTAAATGATCATACAGATTTCGTAATATATATTTTATTTCAATTGTAAACAAAACATTATCTATGGAAAATATTTTGTTTACAATTGAAATAAAATATAGTATTAGTATTGCTTAATTTAATATAGTAGTTTAGTATTGCTTTAGTATATTATTGCTTAATTTAATGCTTAAATTATTAAAGTTTAATTAACAGTATATCAAAAACACAAGAGGTATTTTTTTTCAATGATGTGCTAATGCTATATAAACCCAACTATATTATTATTTATTATCCATCCTGTTATTTAATCTCAATACATTTGGCAATCTTGAACAGGAAACTTCAGTACATCTTTTTAATATTTGATTTTTACTTCTTTTTTTGTTTTTTCATTTTTGTGTGTAATTTTAGCTAATTTTAGTGCTCTGAGAAATTATTATAGGGTGCTATATTAAAAACCTATATATTATTATTATTATTATGAGGAAACTAAATATCTGTGCATTTCTTTTTTAAATTCATTTTTTTTTCATGTCAATTTAAAAACAGTTTTCTTTAAATTTGTATTCATTGATAGTTAATAACTAACGTAATTTATAGATTTTATATTTTTCTTATAGTATTTTTTATATTAACCTACCTATTTATATATTTCTATGTATTGCTTGAGGGCCTCTTAGTGTCAGCTTTGCTGTAATACCCCCATTACGAAATATTATAAATTTTATTTTTTTAAATTTTGAAATAAATAAGAAATAAATAAATATTATTTTACATCAAGTTATTAATCATGTAACGAAATAAATTCAAGGGATTACAGCTGGACAATCATTGCTTATTCAATTTGGGCAAAACCATGGGCAAAGCAAGCATTATTTGTAAACCAGCAGTCAATAAATCAAGTCTAACAGAGCTGCTGACAGTTGGTTTGATTGACTTCTGCAGCCTGACAAATTGAACAAACTCAAACCAAGACATGAATTAACAGAAACCAAGACATGAATTAAATTAGGAGTCCAGTAAACAATTCCATCACTGTTTTCACAGAGACATAAACTTCAATTTCGACCGAAACAACGTTTTAAGAAAAATGTGTTTGAAGTGAACCATAAAACCGTAAATTTCACTATCAAGATATCAAAATTTTGAATATTTTTTACATATTTTTAAAGATAAAGCATTATAACAATTCAAATGTTCAAATCATTTTTTCTTTTCTTAACTTTAATAAACTGTTAATTAGCACGAAAATTTGTTGTCTGTTCGTTAAAAAGATCAGAATACACACAGCATATGTTGTTTACATGTAGAGTGAAGTTTGTGTCTCTTTGTGAAAATGGAATGCACTGTACATGCTCTGTTGTTAAAACACAAACTGTAGTTTAGTTTCATCATCGTAGTCAAGGGTGATTTACAGGCCTACAAAGGCAGTTTATCCTGCTTATCATTATGTTTTTACTATTAGAATAACCACACTTGATGCATGTGTATAGACCCTAGTCAAGTTATACAGCAAGACGAATACTGCTATGCCTAGGTATGTTATAGGGAAATCTAATCTTCACATCTAGCCCTAACCAAGCTACAGTAAGCCATTCTAGAAAATCAAAATGATTGCAACGCTGCACCTTTTGATAACCCACTGAAAGTTTGTTTCTGCTTTTGAAAACGAAAAATCCATTTTTCTTAGTTTGTGCATGTTGGCATGTTAGTATAATTAAATAAATAATATAGCTTCACTCTTAAAAACTAGCTGGAAAGAAAGCGTTCGATGTACATAATCGAAATGTCAAGAAAAAAAAAATTTTAAATTTAAACATACAGCTGTTTAAAGAACAGTATTTAAAGAAATCAGCCTTCAAAGTTTACGATTTCAGATATTTCTCAGGCCAACACCAAATTGTTAAAACATGTTGTTTTAATGTTGAAAATGGGGAAAACAACAACATAGCATGATGTACATATACATGAAATCACTGAAATAAAATAGATTTAAAAAATGTTGACATTTCAACATGTATTGGCCATTATTTCCGAAACATGATTTGCGAGGAGTGACTGGTTTGGCTTGTCTTCACCACAATTATTGATCTATAGCTACATATCTTTGTCAGCATTGAGCCATACAAATATAGACAATATTTAATAACATAAAAAATAATTTAGCTTAAAATATAATCACAGTAAAGTATGGTTTCAATTAAATATTTAGTTCATTATTGTTGACTTAAGAGTAAAAAGAGAAATCGTGAAACATTTTAATGAATTGTAATTACAAAAAATAATGTAATATAATGAAAATGAAGAATAATAAAAATAATAACTGGGAAAGGTGGTTTGGCACAGCTGTTAAGGTTGTGGTTATTAATATGCAGACCATTCTTGGCCGACGATGCTGAAATACCCCAGCTCGCTTTGTTGACAGACTATTAAAGTGGTTCACGCTAGATGTTTAATTTAAGTGCAAGCATTTTATGGCTTGTATACCTCATACATAGATTCTACGAGGCCTAAAAAAGTACTTACTTCCTAGCCTAGCCTAGAGAGAAGTCGGACTAGCTACTACAGTACACTAGCCTAGATAGGCGATCAAAGTGTGTGTCTATCTAGCCTAGCTCTTCTTTGCTGATTTCCTCAATTTCAACAGCACCCACCGTCTTGCAATATTTGTCAAATATTGACAAGACATACTTAATTTGTCTTTTGGTGGTTTTGCTATCGGCTTCATCAAGAAGTAATGGTAGGCCTAGGATAGTCCTTCTTATCCAGTAGCTCAAACTGACTAGGGCCTTATCCTAGACTCCATATTTGTTTATCGTCTACTCACTGCTCCATGGCGCGGCCAAGGCCAATCTCTTTCATCGTAGAGGTCGCAGTTCCCTTTATAGTCAGAGAGCTACATTATGTGGGGCCTAGATATTGCACATCGCGACAGGTCAAAAAAGTAGTATTTTTGAGGGGAATAGTACTTTCTATTGCCCCGCTTCTTAACCTATCAGATGCCTAGAATCTATGTATGAGTTATACAAAATTGTCTATTATACTGTACTTTCACGAAAACAAGGACAGTATTTGTTTATTCCTTTTAACATGAACATTAAAGCAAGTGTACACTTTCTTTACAATACCTGTTATGTACTAATTTGTTTACAGTACATACCTAAAATTGAACAAAATCAGCATTTACCTTGTTCATAGCAAATATACTTTTGTGAAGCTTGACACTATACTCTAACATACAAAAAACCATTCACTTTTAGTAAAATTATTAATTAAAGGAACTTATAAAACTAGAGCCAATAGTATTTCCTGCCTACCACTTTCAGGGAAAATAAAAAAAAAAGAAAAAAGAAATTGCAAGTTATCCTGATGTTGTCTCACCTTTGAAAGTGCTACCATAAACAGACTCCCCTCCAGTCCCATTTCCTATGGATCACAAAAACAAAAAAAGCAAACATGTTAATGCATATTAAAAAATATCAATTTGATTACCATAAAAACAAAAATAAAACAAAAATAACTCACTGATAAATCATAATGGATTTGCAGTTCTTATATATTTTTTGATGCATCGGTGAAGCTCTTACAGTATTCTAGAACGGCCAGTGGCAGCACCAGATTTGATTCAAACATAATCAATCGTAGTGTTAAGTTTTCATTGTTGAAAATGAATCTTTTTTTCTGTTATTGCTAGTCTATATATCACTTCCACATTGAAGATAAACTTTACAGCATTGCATTTTAAAATCTGGATTAAATTGATGAATCAAAGGAAAACATTAGAAATGTAAAACTCTCAGATCGCCTTAGATTATAAACAATTGATCTTATTTTTAATTGAATTAATTGATTGATTAATTAATTAATTAATTATAAGCTTACCTGCACTAAAATCACCACCCTGGATGATAAAATCCTTGACTATTCTATGAATAGGGGTGTCCTTGTAATGGAGGGGTTTGCCCGTATTTTTTCCAAGTCCTTTTTCACCTAGACAAAAGCGAGAATATCTTATCAAAATGGTCAATCAATAGAGTCATTTATCACCAAGAATAAGCAATGGAATATGCCAAAGACATCTGGTCTACAGATACATAAACTTACATTAAAAATCATTGTTTATTTTTAAATGAACATTAACATTTTATACACAACCCCCACTGAGATTTGATTGGAAGATCACGTGTCACATGTGACTAAACTAATCGTTCCACACAATTAGTGAAACTGCATTGCACATCTGACTACATATATCGTTAATTTATTCATTCATTCACTCATTTTGCTGATCAAACATAGTGATCTGATTAGAAGTAAATGTAAGATGGTGAAACGCCACCTTTGACATTTTCACCCTATGAGGATAGATGGTCTGCTGCCCATACAGTAGCACAATGCATTAGACAGTGAATGTTGTATAAAGCAAACAATAAGTGTACAGTAGAACCTCATTCTTATGTACAGCACCGGACCGGAGGGTGTACGTAAATCCAGAAATTCGTAAAATCAAGGTTGGGTTAATTTGTGGTGAATTTTGACTCAATAAGTATGTACAACTCAATAAACATATATTTTGAACTGACAATGTTACCTACGGTACATAAAATACAATATAATAATGTGTAGTCCTACAAATAAAACCATGTGTTTGGTGATTTTATTCATCCCTTTTCGATGTCATAATAAAGTGCCTAGTGTATTAATTCATCACTTTACAGTATATCTCTATTTAATTATTAATAATAATAATAATAATAATAATAACTTCATTTAATAAAGTGCAAAACAATATCCATTAAAAATGTTCATCGGTGCTGTACAGAATTTAAAAATATTCATAGACCAATACACTTTAAACATATAAGATATATACATTAAAAGCTATATTAAAAACATTAAAACATTGTAAAATTACCTATACACCCAGGAATTCCCCATGGCTATTGTAAACAACAGAGCTGCGGTATTGTCTGGGTATGTACACTGGGCTAGACAAACAACTAGCGTTTGTGTGCAAAATTATGCCTACCCTGCTTAGTAAACTGTGTGTTGAAAATTCTATCAAACTTAGAGGTTGATTACATTTGATGCATTTAAATAAGTAATTAAATCCTTTCAGAATCAGATAGTATATACTTTAAAAAAAGAATGTGTAGATAGCCCAGTGGCTGTCAGAGAAACTGAAAAGTTAGAACAGATATTATATTATATAATAATAGATAACCACAGATATTATATTATATAATAATAGATAACCATAAAATATACCTGTACATAGTGCTCTGAAGTTCTCACAGGTGATAGGGCAAATGTCAGCATACAGTTCAAATACTACTCTCCCGACTGCAAAATCAAAACAGGGAAAAGGTATCAAAACAAAGTAACAAAATACATGGTATTCAGTGCTGTAGAGCCGATGTCTTTTGCTCACCTTTTAATTTTAGTGATTTCCGTTAATGAGACAATCGCAAAAATCAGGGCTCACAAAATTCTTGAAAAGGTAAAGAATAATTATGTCCTCTATAACATTGTTAGGAATTACAAAATTAATATGACTTCCAAATCTCCTGAATGTAACAGGAGTGGACCATATTTGGGGATCATTTAAGTGTTCAATAAACATTCATAGAAACTGTTGAAGAATCAATTAAATGGTAATGCAAGACAAACTAATATTTAAATATCGATTCACAATAGGCTAAGGAAATCGTTCCATGGATAGACCAACCTAATCTTCCATGACACTAATAGGCTGTGGTGGTTTAGCCAAGGTTTAGCTGGGCCTAGCAGCAGCTCTCTGCAAACTTTAGCTGGCATCTCTCCGTAATTTGTAGCAAATTAGTAAACAAACATTGATATTAATTAGAGGCTTATAAGGTATTTTTGTATAATTTAAAAACAGAAACGGTTCCTATTTTTTTCGACCTTCCTGACTTCCAAACATGTGGTTTTGGTACCTGTAGCGTTGAATGATGGGTAATTGCTGATGTCATCTTCTAAAAATAGAGCAGCTTGCTACCGTAATCGTTTTTTGACAGTGAAAAACAAATAATATAGATGCTTATTGAATATCCGAACAGTGATTTATTCTTAAAAGGATAAAAAATTGATGTTACCATACATTTATACTCAAACTAGCTGATCCGATTTAAAGTGCATTTAGACCGCAGGTAACCATAAGACAGAGTAGGATAATGCATTTTTAATGACCTTTGTAATTCGTTTTTCTTATAATAAATAAAAATAGCAAAAATTAGATGAATAAATCTAGCGATGACGTCATCTGCTGAACGTTCGTAAAATAGAAGGTTCGTAAATGGGAAGTTTGTAAATGGGAAGGTCGACTGTCATTATTTTAGGCCTAGGTAATAGGCCTACAAAGCATAGGTGTGTTTGCACTGTATACATACACTCAAATCAATAAAAGTAAAGTTTATCAAAATGTTCATCAGTTGTTGGGCACTGACACCAGAGCCTCACTGCTGTTCTTGTTCTCGTTCTTATTACCAAAAACTTTAAAAGCATCCAGCGTCGCCAGATTTTAACATAAGTGCAGGAAATTTTGTATACATAAACTAGAGGTGATTTCCAACAAACGTTCATTGCCAATTTTTTAAGTTGGACCCCAGGGTTCCCCCTACACCTACAAAACAAAACAGGGGTTTCAGCAAGGACTGTACATTACTGCCATTACCACTAATAGGGCACGTCACATGGATGGCACGGTTGGTTAAGGATGTGTTCTAAAGAACATAAGGTTGTGAGTTCGAATTGCGTCTTGGTATTCAATTTTTTTTTTTCAAAATTTAAGAATTTTTTTTTGTTTTTTCAATTTTAAGATATTTTATTTTTGTACAAATGAACATTTTAAATATTAATTTTTTTTGTACAAATAAACATCCTAATAATTTAAAAATTTCTATCTTATTAGCTTTTCCAAAAAACCCAATATAATAACTAGCACCTGTACCGTATTTATGCGTGAATGAACGCGTGAACCGGTTGCTCTCATTAATTAGAAAACAAGATCTACTCAGTTCTTACCAGTATTTCCATTGACAGTGAAGTCAAAGAAACAGCGAGGGCGGTGTTGGCCTTCCAGTGACATCCTATCCTAGTTCGGCCTGTAAGAGAAAAAAAATGAAAACATAGTTTATAAATGAATATCTTTAAAGTACTGTTACAGTCATAGTAAATATAATAGTACAATTCTCTGCAAGTGCATTTCTATGATAATGCATGCTCTTTTTAAAAAACCTCTGCTGAAAACTTGAAGAGTATAGATTGGCAAGAGGTCTGACTACTCTGATTTGTATGCACGCAATGAAACAAACAAATGGTGTACTACCATGAGGTAGGGGTGCCCTATTATAATTCTCTACACACAGCACGTATTCGATAAAAACTATTTTTACATGTGTATACACTCTTGTTTGAAGGATGCTCTCTAATCTAAATTTGTGGTAGCCCTTTTCGAGACAGTATTTTTTCTGTACTCTTTGCCGTAGGCTAGAGGTATATCTTCAGTGGCCTACTGTATAAGAGACTTATTTCGGTCCTATAATATTATATAACTTCATCATATAACATCAACAAACAACAACAATATGGGCTGAAATGGTTTTGCCTATATAAATAATAGCCTAGATCAGCCCAGTTTGAAAGTGGGACCGATCGTCTGTAATTCGCAGGCCTTACTTACAGTCTAGTTTAGCCTAGCCAAAAAGACGCTAATCACTCAGCATGTGTAAGCCCTTACTAGGCGCTACTGCAAGTACTAGGCCTAGCCCAGGCCTAGCCTAGGCCTAGCTGGGCTGTCTAGCAGCAGATAGTATTATAGGCCTGGAGCCTGGAGGCCCAGGGCCAAGCTAGCTAGTAGTACAGTAAGCTAGCCTAGGTTAGGCCTAGTATAGTAGGGCCCTAGTGTTGGTAGGCTACGTTTCAGACCATATCATTGTTTGAAAACACAATTAAGCTACTAATTAGCTTTTATAAATATTAAAAGAATGCAGAAAACGTACAATATACCACCAATTCCTACGGAATGGAGCCTCAACTAGGAATTACAAACAACAGCGTACACACAGTGCGCATGCCATGGCCAGCAGGGTTGCCAGATAGTCGACACAGGCTTCACGGCCGCAAACACACGCCATCTCACGGCCAAATTCGGCCAATTTTTTTTTCGATATCGGCCAAAATTCGGTCAGATTTTAATCCGATTAGAAGACAACAGTGGGTACATTCATTTGAAATTCTACAAAAATTATACGAAAATCAAATGATATACACAGAACAATGTTAAAAATAAATAGCCTATATTCTTTAGTTGCTGGCATGCAGGCCAATTCAGAGGAAAATCCAGAGATGTCCGAAAGGGGGAGGCGTTTGGGCGATCAATTTTTCTTTCTTTGTTTTTAATTTTTTTTTTATTAATTTTTTTTTACCACCCTTAAATCCACCTCTGCTATTTAAAATCACAATATTAAGATTGGTCTAAATTTGATTTAAAAGTATTAAATATTAATGTACATTGTAGTCGATCTATAGCAAAAATTTTAAGGGCCTGTTATTGGCAAATCCGTGGCTATCATTAATTAGAATGAATTAAGTTACATAGTTAGGTAACACAAACTGGCGTTAAAACAAACCTATGAAAACTTTAATAAATACTTTTTATA